ACGTCGGGAGGTTCTCGAACGCGACCCGCGTGTACTGGAGCGTGTGCTCGTCGTTGGGAAGGATGACCGAGTTGTTGGCGGCAGCGGCGGCCGTCGCGAGCAGCGAAGCGAGAAGGAGTGTCGGGGCGTGCATGTTGGTGGAGGACGTCGAATGGAAAAGTGTGATGTATCGATTCAGTGATGCGGTACACAGTGCGATGCCTGCAGCGCTGCTTGCTGCTTTGACATTCAAAGGAAGTCGACTTGCGACAAGGGACACATTGCCTCGTTCGATGGAACTGTAGTCGCCAGGAGTCATCACCAGCGATCGTGTCCGTACGCTATGGAAAATCAGATGGGTGGCTGGACGTTTATTTGGTACAGTCGAAATGTTGACAAATTGCTGCAGAAGATTGGGAAAAATGAGACCAGCAATACAGACGATCCGATATCATGCATTCAGTACTCGGGGTGCGATCGTCGTTAGACGCTCGTAGATACCGGTACAATCATCAGTGTACACTCATCTCCCTCAGGTCTAAGCCTCGCCCCAAACGACGATTCACTCAGGCGTTAGAGGGTTTAGTGTACGCATAAATGAGCGACACTTGGCAAAATACACTGTTTGCATAGCCAAAATGTAGATGATAACTCACACCAGGGTGTCTACAAATATATTATAGATATTTCTACTCCATCTGTTTGGGTTTCAAAAAATGTAAATATCCGGTGCAGTTCATGCACGAACGTCCAGCCACCCATCTGATTTTCCATAGCGTACGGACACGATCGCTGGTGATGACTCCTGGCGACTACAGTTCCATCGAACGAGGCAATGTGTCCCTTGTCGCAAGTCGACTTCCTTTGAATGTCAAAGCAGCAAGCAGCGCTGCAGGCATCGCACTGTGTACCGCATCACTGAATCGATACATCACACTTTTCCATTCGACGTCCTCCACCAACATGCACGCCCCGACACTCCTTCTCGCTTCGCTGCTCGCGACGGCCGCCGCTGCCACCAACAACTCGGTCATCCTTCCCAACGACGAGCACACGCTCCAGTACACGCGGGTCGCGTTCGAGAACCTCCCGACGTGCGCGTCCAACACGTGGGACATTGCCGGGCCGCAGTACGACACGTACTCGCGCTGCACGACCAAGCCGGACGTGATCCTCGGCATCAACGTCTTTCGCTGCCGCAAGTACGCGGCGACAGCGAAGAAGACGCCCAAGGGCCGCGACGCCAACGGCCAGATCATCAAGGGCAGCGACAACGTGTACAACTGCGACGAGTGCTTCTACGGGTACCGCCGCATCGGCCCAGGTGGCCCGCAGGAGATTGAGCCGCTCACGCTCGACGGCTACAAGGCGCATAACCTCACCGGGCTTCGCGGGTACTTTGTGCCGCAGCGCATCGGCGACCGCAACTACCTCCGCTCGTGCTTTCTCACCGAAGGCAAGAACCTCGGCGACCTCTGCGAGTCGATCCACCGCCAGTCGTTTGGCCAGGCCGATGGCGCTGACGCCACGTGCATTCTCAAGCACGAGATCAAGACGTCGTCGGGCCACATTCGCAAGTCGCTGCCGTTCGACGGCAAGCTCAAGGACGACGACAACTGCCACGAGTACGCAATCGTCAACAACAAGATCGCGTGCAAGACGCGCAAGTAACTGTCATTGAATAGCAAGTCTTGTATTTTAAAACTCGCTATCGTTGTTGTGGAATCGGCGTCTGCGAACATGGCGTCGTCCAGGGTAAGGTGGACGCGCCGGTTTGTCAAGGGTCTCGTATCGAGCCTCACTGGCAATTGCAAGAGGCGACAAATGTCATGCCTCGACGGTTTGTGTTTTTGGTCGGAGCGCGCTGCGCCGCACGGAAAGCCGCAGCGAGTCGAGCGGGGAGAGGCAGGATGCGCACACGTTCCGACCTTTGAAGAGAACCAGCACTCTATACCTGCACCATCACTCACACGATGGAGCCGGTACACAAATGTACAGCATTCCTTGTTTTCTTCACTGTTTTATACAGCAAGTAGCATTACAATCTACAGTGTGTAATGATGCTTTGATATGACATCATTAAGCTGTCATGTCAGTTTGCATTATCGCGCATGTCCGACACGAGCGGCAATCTCCGCAGCCTCGTGGAGGTTGTCATGATACCTCACTGCTACCACGACGAGAAAGAAGATCTGTGGTACGATGGCTCCGAGCGTATGGCAATCCATGGCGTCGACGTCGTCTGGCCGCTGGCGCCGGCGCAGGCGGCGTCCTTGCTGGAAGCTAGCCCCGACAAAGCGACGCTCTTGCTCCCGCCGTCGGCCATCACATCAAGCATGTACGTCGATCAAAGCAGTCATGATTACTGCGACATTGTCTGTGGATTGAAGCTCGACGCGCGCTATGCCTACGACTTTGCGCATTTCGCGATTGATGGCGTCGGGTCGGCGTCGGCGCTGGTGCCGACTCCTGCTTCGACACCGGGAATGTTTGCGACGCTGCTCTACTTTGTGCCGTCCGACTGCATTGGCGGCGCCGTCACCATCACGTACGAAGACCAGACGAAGACGTACGAGACTCTTGACGGACACTCGGTCGTCTTCTTCAACACGTGCCACGTCGCGGTCGCACCGATCACATCGGGCACCCGCGGCATCTTTGTGCACCGCGTGAGCTACGAGGACTACTATGAAGGTGACAACTTGTGTTTCGCGCCCCCGCCGCTGCCGTCCAAGGCCGACATTGACGACGCGATCGAGATGCTGGGCGAGCAAGAGTACTGCGTCGTCCACGTCGAGCTTGAAACGCGGACCGCCGCGCCACAGTATGCAACGCTGACGGGTCGTGACAAGGCGGTCGTCGACTGGCTTCTTGCGGCGGAAATCTTTGACATGGCGTTCATCACGGTGAGCGATGCGACGCTGAACGAGCGTTGGGTCCCGCCCATGGGGACAGCCAAGGGCCGATGGGTAGAGAACAATGGCTCGGACCGCGGGAAGACCATGCGGAAGCTACCCGACATCTTCCATCCGCAGTGCGCGACGCCATCGCGTCTTCAAGCCGCGTGGCGCTTTCGCCCGATCGCGTACTTTATCGAGGAAGAGGCGATCGACATTGTCGATGACGGCTATCACCCGGTTTGCCTCGTCTTTTGGCCCAAAGCGCTCCGCTTGACGCTGCTCGGTCTTGTCCGCACCGTCGCTTTGCTGCGTGATCACGTCGACGGGTCGTGCTCGGACGACTTTGGGTTCGGGTCTACCCAAGCGCTCTTTGAAGCCGCTGTGCGCTTCTTCACTGGTGCCGAGCCCGGTCCGGCGCAGCTCAATCGCTCGAGTCGGTTGGGCATGGCAAACGTTCTCTTTGACTATGGCGACCGCACGCTCATGGCGGACTATCTGAGCGGCATGCGATGGGACGAGCACGATGTCGCTATCGTGCCGTGGGTGGTCTCGGTCGTCCGCCGCTTTGGCTTGCCGGCCATGACGGACGCTTTTAGCCGCCTGGACGTTCAGACGTCCGGTTCGTTCTGGCGCAAGGTCCTTGAAGGCATCCGTGCTGACACGCCGTCGTGTGAGCGCGACGTGTACGAGATGGCATCTCGTTGGTGGACCAGCGCACTGAAATGGAATTGAATGCCTGTGGACGGTATCCAGCTCGCGGCGTGGCTCTATGAAAACGACCTGGCGCCGAGTACGCGCGCTCTTCTGTCGGCGCGTCTGCCGGCCGATGTCGTCGACAATATCGTCGTCATGACGATCGACGTGGCACCGCTCGTGCAACGATTCAAATACGAACGCGGGCTACCGGTCGCCTTGTGGTCACTGCGTGCGACGCCGCTGCCACGCCCACTGCACGACGCCTACCTCGACTACGCGCTGCAACTCCACAAAAGTGATGTTGACTACTACGACGAGGCCGCAGCCCACTTGCTCTTGCTGACGATCGGCTCACGACGCTTTGAAGCTGCCGACGCGCTTGCATCGACGCGGCGCGCCAGGCCCAAGTTTCAGCAGACGCTAGCAAAGTTGGAGAAACGAGGCCAGCTCACCGCGGCGCAAGAACTGATCCTCGACACCTACCTCTCAAGTGTTTAAGTTGAACGACACGGCAACTCCATAGAATCACATTTTATAGACAATAATGTCAAGATGCGATCGGAGCAATCACAGCCGTGTTGTCGTTGGATTGCGACAGCACGTGATCAAGACAATCAACCTCATGGGATCCCATTCCGCGCATACACGCCAACATACGGGCATGCCGCCGTAAGCTGTGTCCTTGCTTGGTCAGCTTGTCGCACACACAAACGCGTGCCCATCTCTCGTATGGCAGACTGTACAGCACGAACGCATCATCGATTTGGTGCGTTCAAAACCGCGTCAGTCACAGAATGTCGCTGACAGCGTGATGATCACTGGAGTGTAAAGTTGTGGAGGTGTTTTCCTTAGATTTCTCTAGGTTTTCTGTACAAGTACTAGTACAAGCTTATATCGATAGCTCATAGGAACAGGAGTTCTCTGTACAGGCATTTGATGCATTAGGCATATGCAAGACCACACACACCTTTTCAAGTACAACTTGAAGTATGGATGCACAGCGCTATTTGGGTGCGACAGCCACGCTGTCCCAGACCCGACTTCTATGGAATGCCAAAGCAGCAAGCGGCTATGCCCTCCATGCACGCTGGTATATCCTCGATCGAATGCATTCATAGAACTCACTTTTCCATTCGACGTCCTCGACCAACATGCACGCCCCGACACTCCTTCTCGCTTCGCTTCTCGCGACGGCCGCCGCTGCCACCAACAACTCGGTCATCCTTCCCAACGACGAGCACACGCTCCAGTACACGCGGGTCGCGTTCGAGAACCTCCCGACGTGCGCGTCCAACACGTGGGACATTGCCGGGCCGCAGTACGACACGTACTCGCGCTGCACGACCAAGCCGGACGTGATCCTCGGCATCAACGTCTTTCGCTGCCGCAAGTACGCGGCGACAGCCAAGACGATCGGTAGCGACAACGTGTACAACTGCGACGAGTGCTTCTACGGGTACCGCCGCATCGGCCCAGGTGGCCCGCAGGAGATTGAGCCGCTCACGCTCGACGGCTACAAGGCGCATAACCTCACCGAGCTCCGCGGGTACTTTGTGCCGCAGATCATTCGTGATCGTGACAACCTCCGCTCGTGCTTTCTCACCGAAGGCAAGAACCTCGGCGACCTTTGCGCGTCGATCGAGCGCGACTCGTTTGGCCAGGCCGATGGCGCCGACGCCACGTGCATTCTCAAGGAGCCGCTGGGCTGCGGTGAAGGCAGCGTCACGTCGCTTCCGTTCGCCGCCAAGCTGCAGGACGACGACAACTGCCACGCGTATGCGATTGAAAATCGACAGGTTGTCTGCACGGCGCGCGCCTAAGCAGCGCACACAATGCTGAGATTGTAAAACATAAACCCGTTCTTGTTTCTTTGTGTGTCGTTCGAAGAAGCGGGAATATCTCCAGTACATTGGCACGTTGAGCAGGGCGAAGCGTGTCGGTATGTGGAAGAGGTCCACCTGCGACATCAAGGACAGCAGCGAGCATGCGCTTGTTGAACCGTGGGCTAACGGCGCAGTGGATGCCCTGCTCGTCGTACGGTGCGCCAACGACACATCACTTGACGCGCATCGGTCGTTTGAGCATCGCGTCGACGTAAAGTGGTCTGTCGCATAGTCCATTTCCCAATGCCACGTCATGCCAAGCGTTACACGAACGTTCAAAAACAAGTGGACGAGGAAACCGTGAAACTGACGTCGACCGTTCGGTCCACCCAAAGTGTATATATGTATCCGGATAGTACAATCGCTGACCAATCAAATCGCCGAGAAGACAAACCTACGCGTTCGATGAGTTCGATCGATGTGCAAAAAAGAGACGTCGCGGTCCGCAGCTATTAATAGGAAGCCTGGATGATGAAGATGCGGCGCTGTCAGCAGAAGATTACAAAGGTATATGCAGCCTGCATATACCTTTGTAATCTTCTGCTGACAGCGCCGCATCTTCACAGCTGCATAATGCAGCTGCGTCGCGTCGTCATGCCTCGCTTGGATCACGAATCAAGGGGTACATCTCGGCGCTCCGACCACTTGCGCGAAGTGCCATTCTGGAATATTCACCAAAAGATGGCCGTAAGGGTAATGCACCACGCCGACGCATGCGTCAATGCGAGAGTTCTGTGCTACCCATGAGGTAATACTACAATTATTGTGATCCTAGCACTCACTTCTCGATCCCTTCCGATGGCAATGCTTGGGTTTTGCACGGGACGTTGCTGGCGACCTCAGCATTTCTTTTGAAAAAAATGTAAAAAAAGATGAAATAATTCACATTGCGACCGTCGTGCACTCGCTACCCGAGGCATGCACATACCGAACTACCTTGCACGAGTCGAGCTCTAATACATACATGTGGACCATCAAGGGAATTCCCTTATGTACCATGGAGAGAGCTCATGGAGAGAGGATGTCGGACGTCAGTGGATGGGACATGGAGTTGCTCCAGCCAAGTGATAGGCGAGGTGATATTTTATTACCATTTTATTTCACCTACAATTATCTAGTATACATGCACGGCATTTAAAAGAGAGACACGGGTTGTCAGTGGTCATTTCGAGATTTCGAGCATGGCAGGTGGCATGTACGGGCAGCCGCCCGTCAGCTACGGGACGTACGCGCGGTCGGTCGCGAGCCCGAGCCGGCTCAGCGAGGACGAGGCAATGCTCGCCAAGCTCAGCGAGTACGTCAGCACGGGCGCGCTCAAGAACATCATGCAGCTGCTCAAGAAGAAGCGGTTCACGGCCTCCGACTTGCTCAAGCGCGAGATCCAGCGGCTCAAGTCGGCGCCGTCCGACGTGGGCCCGGTGCCCGAGTCGGTCCGCGACTTTGACATTGACGACAGCGGCGACGAGGAAGACGCGCGGCTGCGCTCGGTCTCGGTCGCCGACGATTCGATGCTCCTGCCGCCCGCCAAGAGCTGGGCCGTCTCGTTTGAAGAAGAGAACACGAGCCGCCTCCTCATTTACGCCCGCCAAGAGTGGCGCCATACGCAAAAGCTCGCGGTCGAAGCGTCGGTCGCCGAGCTCATCATGCACGCGCTACCGCGCCGACGCCCTCTGCGCGATGGCAAGACGACCAAGACCGTCCTCGACGTGGCCAAGAAGTATCTAAGCATCGAAGGCACCGAGCTGCAGCTGCTCGACCTCATCCACGAGTTCATCGCGGGTGGGTTTGAGCCCGCCCAGAACGCGCTCCTCGCGGCCGTGTGCTCCGTCGACTACGACGACGACAACGACAAGGCGACCGCCGACGTCGACCGAAAGGACCTTTTCATCCGGTTCCTCCTCCGCTATGTTGCGATGGCCGACAGCTCGCTCTCGCCGGCCTTATTGACGCACTACCAGAACCGCGCGCTCTCGATCGTGCAGTTGTTGTGCGAGAACCACCACGAGATGTGGCAGAGCGTCGTGTCGCTCGAGGTTGACGGCAAGCGGATTCTCTTGGCGGTCGTCGACGCCATGGGTGCAGCGATCAGCATCTCGCTCAACAACCCCGCCTTGCTCAAGTGCATGGCCGCCATCACCGAAGCGTGCCAGGGCCCGAATAAGGTCAACCAAGAACTGATTGTCAACTCGAACGCGACGGCGCTCTGTTGCAAATTGCTCATGAACGACCAAGCCGTGGACATGACGATCCACCAAGCCGCGACCGAGCTCCTCCTCTCGCTCATGGAAGGCCGGACCGACCAATCGACGCAAGCCACGATCGCGCAAGCCTTTAGCGCCGACGTGGTTGTCCTACGCCTCCAATTGTACCACAAGGCGCTCCTCGAGCAGTTTGGGAGCCCGCTGGACTTTGCCAAGCACGATATTCACCGCGCGCCAATGTACAAGAAGGCAATGAACCTCACGCGGCTCGTCGTCCGCATCATGAGCCTTGAGCAAGCGTCTGGCAGCGGCGACCCCTCGGGCACCGCGTCGTCACCGCACGCGCTCAGCGCCGACGCCGACCAGGACGAGCTCGACGAGGCCGACGACGCCGAAGACCGGATGGCGTTTGAGGTGCACATGCGCGCGAAGCTCAACTCGGCGGTCCTCGGTATGCTCAAGCGGTCCGAGTCCGAGTCAGATGTCAGCACGCTCGCAACGGCCATCAAGACGGTGCTGGTAGCCAACCGTGCGCTCCGGTCGTTTGACACGCGGTCCGTGCAGGGCTTTCGCGCGTTGTGGGAGTCGGCGGTCGCCACGTACAAGGCGCAGTCGGCCCAGCGCTTCTTCAACGCGCAGCTCATTTCGGTCGAGATTCTTCGCTACGGAAAGCACTCGACCGTCTACTTTGTCAAGCCACACGACGCCATGTACTTTGACGAGCAGCTCCAGAACGACTTGCTCGATGCAATGGACATTGGCGGTGAGCATGCGATGGACGTCCTCTTGTCCGAGCAAGCGCGCGACACGGAAGAGGAGCTCAAGGTCGTCAAGCACCTCAAGCGCCTCACGCTCTACTCGCTCATGAGCTCGTGGCAAATGTGGCTCCGGACGCGACTGCTGGCGCTCTGCTTTTACATCAACTTTGTGCTCTTGTTGATGCTGCGCATTGACAAAACGACCAAGTACCCGTACGTGACGATCCTCGGCAGCGTCTACTGCGGTCTCTCGGCGGTCCTGTTTGTCTACTACCTCATGCGGACGTTCAACTTTCACTATTGCAAGCAGCAGCTCTCGATCACGAAACTCAAGTTTCGGTCGCCCAAGACGATCCACGACCGCAAGTGGGAAGCGTTCCAGGACCCTATCTTTTACTTGGGTACATCTTGTCTCTTGTCGGCGATTTTTCATATTTTTCTCATTTGTTTTGGATCGTAGAACTTATTGCGTGGACGTACTCGCTCATCGTGTGGGTGTATGGCTGGACCGCGTTCAACACGGTCGTGCTCGGGCTCGGCGCGTTCCTTCTCCTCTTCTTCTCGACGCTCTCGGGCCTTCGCAAGTACGCGGAGATCATGCGCTTCAGCGTGAACCAAGAGATCACGTACAAGCAAGTGCGCATGACGACGCGGGGCGACCAGCTCCTGCCCAAGGTGTACTTTTGGTACAACGTGCTGTACGACACGCTCTTTTCCGAGAACGTAGTTCGCTTTGCCGTCTTTACGGCGTGCGCGATCCTCGGGCTCGTCGACGAGACGCGGTACTTTCTGTACTATGGCGTGCCGCTCGCCGACCTCATCAACCTCCATTTCGGCCTCAAGTTTGTCGTGAAAGCCATGAACATGAACATGGGCAAGCTCGCGATCACGGCGGCGTTTGGCGGCGTCGTCATCTACTTCTTCGCGCTCCTCGGGTATTATTTCTTCCAGCCCGAGCTCTCGAGCGGCGGCGACGACGCCAACCAGTGCTCGACGCTCATGCACTGCGTCATGACGTACCTCCACAGCGGTCTTCTGAATGGCGGCGGCATTGGCGACTACCTCTCGGACGTGCCGATGAACTACAACGAGAAGGGCCGGTACTTTGGCCGCGTCTTTTACGAGCTCGCGTTTTTCATCGTGGTGATCACGCTCATCTTGAACCTCATCCAAGGTATCATTATCGATGCGTTCACTGCTGTCCGCGAAGCGTCCGAGAACAAGCTCATGCTCCGCCGGACGCAGTGCCTCGTGTGCAACCGGCCGCGCGCGGTGATTGAAGCCCAAGGCATGGAGGCCGGGATCATGAACAGCTTTGCGCGCCATACCGAGACCAAGCACAATCTATGGCACTACTTTTTCTTCATCAAGTACCTCAACAGCAAGGACGAGACCGACATGAACGGCATGGAGTCGTTTGTGTTTGAGAAGATCAAGGCCAAAGACATGTCGTGGGTGCCCCATATTTAGAGACCGACTAAACCCTTTCCAACACTATACTCCACGTTGTTCCCTTCCATATTGTTGTATATACGAACCGGTGAGATCGAGGAGAGTCGACGCTACACGCTGATGCAGTGAACAACGCCAAGTGGAAGAAAGAAGGTAGGTTGGTTCGAGACAGAAAAGTGGGGTGAGCCGCGTGGAGCAATCTGCACACGGATCCGAGACCTACGAAATGCCTATCTACAGAGTACACTTAAAACGAGCAGTGCATTCATTTAGTGTGGGCACAACGGCTTAGCCAACACCAATAAACGTTTACAGATTGAGGCGGCGGCAGCGAACAATGTGTGGTCGTTGGCGCTTTGCAAGATCGGTTCCACCGATTCTTGGACCAATCGTGTGCGTTGGCGCCGCAATCGCGCTCTGTGATTGGCTGACATGATTTTCCAAACAACTTTTCTATAGAAAGTTGTTCTACAATGACATTCTACCGGCAATGCGGCCTCGTTCGCTTGACAGAAGTCATTTATCCATTACAACATGATTGCAGTCGGCGATAAGCTTCCGGACGTCACCTTGTACGAGTACGTGCTGGTCGAAGGCACGTGTGCTATCGGGCCCGACGCGTTCAACGCGCTTGAGGCTGCGGCCGGCAAGACGATCGTCGTGTTCGGCTTACCCGGCGCTTTCACGCCCACGTGTACGTCCGAGCACGTCCCTAGCTATTTGGCGCATGCGGACGAGCTAAAGGCTGCGGGCGTGGACGAGATCTGGTGCACGAGCACAAACGACGCGTTTGTGCTTGGCGCGTGGGGCAAGGAGCTCGGGACGACCGGCAAGATCCGCATGGTCGCGGACGGCGACGCCTCGTTTATAAAGGCCACGGGGCTCTCGCTCGATTTTACGGGCAAAGGATTTGGCGTGCGCAGCGCCCGCTACTCGATGCTCGTCAAGGACGGTGTCGTGACGACGCTCAACCTGGAAGACGGCCCGGCGTACAAGGTGAGCGGCGCCGACACGATCCTCGCACAGCTCCGGGGCTAATGCACACTGCCAATAAGCTTATAAACATGTAGACAGATGCGTCTCTCGATGTGTAGTACGCGTTTTGTGCCGACTTGACGGAGAGGCTGCCTTGGAGTGATGGAGGTGCTTGCGTCGTCGTTGGCGTCGTCGTTGTATGCTGACGTCTTGCGTAAACGACAAGCTCTACCACTGGGCCCGACGATGCTTCTGCACCTAAGAGTGCGACCTTCGACAGCGTTTTAGACCGTCTCGCACGCCTTCAAGTGCCGGAAGAGGCGCATCAAACGTTGGCTCTCTCGGCTATCGATATGGCCAATTTCATTCGGCCTGCGCATGCTCTCATCATGCGCGCTTTTGCGTCACTTTGGCGGCACTCTGCCTTCCAGCTCTCGATCTCAACCCATGAGCTCAACCTGTGCCCTGCCAGCGTGGCACGGGTTCGCACCCAAAGTTGTCAAAGCTGATGCTGGTACCGACAGCTTCCAACGACTACGACGCGTTGCCCTGGCTTGTCGTGCATTGTATTCCGAGCCGGCGACAGTTCCCTCGTGCACAGCACCATCGAGCAAGCCGTATCCAGATACCGGTAGTAGCTCCGTTTCGATGTATCCACGACTAGTACAGTGACTAGTACAGTATCGTTGTTGAAATAAGTTATCACATGCAATTATAAAGATCTAGTGGGCTTCCTGATGCGAGCAGGAGGCGTGGCCGGTGCGTCAAGTGAGCAGCGTCAGTGGTCATGATGCGGGATTGTGCGAGGGACAAGGTAACCACAAGGGTCATCTCCAAGAGCGTTGAGCGACGCGCCAAGCGATGACACCACAGCGCGACGAGCCAAGTGCCGGACATGCAGTCGTGTGATAGTAGCTGCCTGGATCGCTAGCGCAGCAGCGGAAAGTTTCGTCAGCGTTGTGCGGAAGACGCGGTTGTTGCGTTCGAGCCAAAGACAATACCAGACGCAAGCGCGTAGGATCGGCCAGAGGGCATAAATCAATGGACGACGTGTGGTCCGAGTACGGCGCGGCGACGGCGTCGTAGCCTTGTAGAGTATTGCACAAGGCTCTCTCGATCGAGAGCAGGTCGTTTACACTACGTAGGCGGACACTATAATAGGCACGAGAGGGCTTCCCAAGCTCGGATGTTGACATCATTTTCACGGCAGATTTCTGTGACGCTGTCATTTTTCAAGCGGCAATAGTGGGATGAAGCTTCGGGACGTCGCCGATTTCTTCGAGTCGTCGTGACGCTATAACTATGCACACGCGGTATGGGATGCGGTGCTCCTATGGAACGGGACACCACCTCGTTCGGGTGCCTTGACGACGACGACGCGCTCGGTGCTGCCGTCGTCCTCGTGTGTTGCATCCGCAGAGGCCAGCAACGATGACATACGGTAGTGAAATGCGTGATCGTGCCATGTGGTGGGATTGCCAATTTGCCCCGCTCAACTCATCGTCGCTACGACTGCCACGTATTTATGACCGCATTTCATATCAGGCGCCGATGATTCGCGAGATTACGTTACACATGCCCCGCTTCGGTCGCGAAGCTTCAGCAAAATTGTGCTGTGGTGTTCGTACCATGTCATTTTCAGATCTTCCATCTCGCGCCCAGTACGCCTCCGCCTCCAGGATGCACGGTCGCTAACCTCCTGCTTGTATTAGACGTTCAAATGATTGCTATTGGTGACCAGCTCCCTGCCGTGACGCTCGGCGAGTACAACGCTGTCGAGGGCACGTGCGCGATCGGCCCCAACCAGATCAAGGTCCAGGAAGCCGCGGCCGACAAGACGATTGTCATCTTTGCCGTGCCGGGGGCGTTCACCCCGACGTGCTCGGCGCAGCACGCGCCCGGCTTTGTCGCGCTTGCCGACGAGTTTAAGGCCGCTGGCGTCGACGAGATCTGGTGCCTCAGCGTCAACGATGCCTTTGTCATGGGCGCGTGGGGCAAGGAGCTCGGCACGGCCGGCAAGATCCGCATGATCGCCGACGGCGACGCCGTCTTCACCAAGGCCACGGGCCTCGAGCTCAACATGACGGGCCGCGGCCTCGGCCTCCGCGCCGCCCGCTACTCGATGCTCGTCAAGGACGGCATTATCAAGGAACTCAACCTCGAAGTCGGCGGCGCCTTCAAGGTCAGCAACGCCGAGACCATCTTGGCGCAGGTCCGCGGCGAGTAAGCAAAACTACCTGTAAATTGACATTCATTTCTTGCACGATGCTTGGATTCTTTGGCTCACGCCCCGCAACCGCGAACAGAACGTCAGTTTGATGCCTGCGGCGAGTCAAGGAGGGGTGGTTGCCCGCCTACGGCGATAACCCAGCCATCGTAACGTGGCGTATGCCATATTGAAGGCGTGTACATGATGCAGACTAAGCCCAATTGCAGCGCCTCGGGCCCTTGCTAACGAGCTGACCTGTGTCGGACGCTCGGTTGAAGGCAGCGTTGAAGGTGTGACCCGGTTACGGTTAGAAAGCCGTCCTTTTATGCAACGGTTGGATCCCAGACCGCGCGATGCCATTGGTCAAAATGAAGCCAATCGGATCGGGCGCATATCCAAATCCGGTCATTCCATCGCTTGCTCTGAGCCGCTCATCATGCTCCAGCGCCTCCGCCACACGCCTGCCCTCCGCACCATGACCCGCGCTGCTAGCACGTCGACCAAGGTATGACCGATGACAGTCGTCGCATGGCCTCATGCACGTATCCTGATCATAGCTCACTGTCGGCGCGAAGCTGCCGGCGACGACGCTCACGGAGCACCGGTTGCTTGAAGGCGAGGGCTATGCCATTGGCGCTAGCCCCATCGACCTCCAAGCGGCCTCGAAGAGCAAGACGGTGGCCATCTTTGGCCTCCCCGGCGCCTTCACGCCGACGTGCTCCGAGTCGCACTTTCCGGCGTTCCTCGACCACCACAAGGACTTTGTGGCCGCGGGGGTCGACGAGATTTGGTGCATTGCGGTCAACGACCCGTTCGTCATGGGCGCGTGGGGTCGCTCGCTCAACGCGACGGGCAAGATCCGCATGATCAGCGACGGGGACGCGGCCTGGACCAAGGCCAACGACCTCGTCTTCGACTTGACGGGCAAGAACATGGGCGTTCGCAGCACGCGCTACTCGCTCCTCGTCAAGGACGGCATCCTCGCTGCCGTCAACGTCGATGCTCCCGGCAAGTTTGAAGTCAGCGACGCCGCGACGCTCCTTGCGCAGGCCAAGAAGCTCTAAGTCTCTCTGTTCACCGTCATCCCAAACAGTCGTTTCTTCCACTCATCTTTGCGGTGCATGCTTACGCAGTGGCTGATGCTATAACGCTTCACGTCTCCTAGCAAACCATCTTTCCACGGCTCGCACTCGTTCATCGATAGTGCGTACACGCTCTGTGCCTGGTCTCGCGCCATCACAGCTCCTACCACGACATGTAGCAAGGCGAGGGCAGTCTTGAAATCACTTTGCACTTTGGCACCCACCAATGACCCATGAGACGCTCGTGTCACGACGCGTCAGGAGAGATGGGAGCATGCACAGTACATGTACAGCAGACGACGATCTTCATTTCTGCTACGGCCCGAGCTGCGTATGGGCACGTTGACCAAACTGGAAGCCCGCTTTTGGGAGTCGCGCCGCGGGCAGCGGCGTCAAGACGTCTTCGTACGACTGTGCATTGACATAGTGCGACTGCCGGCCAAACGAGCTCGTCACATCGAGACCGTCGTCTTCGTCGTCCTACACCATGCACGCTGCCTCAACAACGATGCCGATAGCACACAGTAGGTACGTACGCTAAAGCTGAACTGCACGCGGGGCGCGTTGGTGCGGCCAGGCGTCTGGCGGTCCGGGTTGGGCGTCTGCGGGTAAAAGTACACGCTTTCGTCTTCCACATCATCATCATCATCATCGCCTTGGTCGCGATCGTGGTACGGCGAGGGGGGCACGTCGCCCTTGGTCGGTGACCAGTAGACGGCGGTCGAGAGCTGCGTCTTCTTGAGCAGCAGCCAGTGCCACGCGCGGCGCCCGACGCCAAAGACACGGCAAATGCGAATCCAGACCGTGTAGAGGCAAAGCCGAATGCGGTGCAAGAAGCGCTGAGTTGCGAGGCGATAGCGCACGAACGTAGCACGCCGCTGCATGCACGAGACCACGATGAGGACGATACACGTCGTGCACAGCGTCGAGAAGACCCAGAAGCGAGGCGTTGAGAGCATGTCGAGTGCGCTCGGACGGGAGGGCTTGGTCACGTTCGATGGGCGGGCGACAGGCACGGGCGCGGCCGGCGTCGGCACATGGGTCGGCTTCACAGCTTGCTCGTAGGCCGACTCGTCATCGCTCGTAGGCTCGACCTCGACAGGTGCGATTGGATCGCGCGCGAGGTCGTCCGAGAGGTGGAGCATCATGTCGAGGGCCTCCTTGCGCGTCGTTTCGACCATGGCTTCCATCATCGACTGCATGTGCTGCATGGTTTCAACGTGGATCGCGTCGACTTCAGCGCGGATCTTCTCTTGCTGCGTCACGAGCCGGCCGTTCGTGAGCTCGTGCATCTGCGCATCGAGCTGCGTCTGCGCAATCGACGCCAGTCGCTGCGCGTGGGCCTCCATCGTGGCCGCAGCCGCTGCAATCTGGTCCATCTCCGCGATGGAATGCTGGATCTCGATGAGAAGACGGTCTTCGCGCGCGCTTTGCAGTTCGAGGTTGCGGTACATGAGCGCAGCCGTGCCCACGAGGAAGAGGAGCGCGCACGTGACAACGCGGTAAAGCCGCGGAAGCGCCGTCTTCGCCGCCACCGCTGGCCGCACCGGCGCAGCATCGGCACCGAGATCGCTCTCTTCCACCAAGATGTCTCCATGGGCCCATCCTCTTCGCTGTGGAGGCTGCGCGGAGCGTGGTCGGACGCCCGTGCTCATCGCGGCGATCGCTTGGAATGGGCGAAATCAAATCCTCGCATGCGGTATCCGGATGTACCAGCGTATTCGGTATGCGTTTAAACAACCTTTTTATTGTGTATTTTATATAAATTGCCTTCTTTTGCGTATTAAACGTGTTTAACGCATGACACAATACTCAAAACACACGATACCGACCTGCTTCTCTTCCATTTCCGTGGATGTTTCTTGATTCCATACAAACACCAAGCTATGAGATCGTATTTTAATGCAAATACGCGAGGTTTGAAATATTGGGTCCGCTCCCGCCAAGTAATATCACTTGCCCTCTCTGATGGAGGAAGAGATGGACGCATGGCGGCGAGGGAAGCAGGTAGACATGCTGCATGTGAGGGTCATCGTGCTCATGCTGGACAAGGGACCGTTCCTGCCTCTGCGGCCGACCGAGGGCATGGGACCCGACGCGAGAAGGATGGGACCCGACGTGGCCCGACTGCGACGGGTGCATCACCAACGGCCAGAGACGAGGAAGACGTTCATCGACCTCAGCGCCGTCCGACTGCAAGCGTCGCGCGAGATGCAAGTCCACGTCCAGAAGCAGCTCTTGGCGATCAAGCGGGCCAAGCAGGCCCCACTTCTCTGCGCCAGCTACACGAGCTTCCCCGACATGGAGCCCAAGACCGAGGACAAGGAAGACACCATTGCGCCAGACGTCATACGGCAAGTCGAAGATGCGACCGAGGACGTGCAAGCTCACGACGACGTGCCCGACCACCTCCGGGCCGACGAGGACGACGACCTCGAGCATTCTCGCGAAGACTATAATACCGATGCTGCAGCTGATGCCCATGACGACGACGAACCGGCAGAGCTCGATGACGGTGTGGACATGGCCCAAGACTGGCGACAAAATGACGATGCAGATGGCGAGTCGTATGACCTCTACGGTGCCCTGGACGGCGACGACCTTGGGTGCAGCGACGACGTCGGCCCCGAGACTTGCGACGAGTTTGACGCGGGTGTGCCAGATGATGAACGACGGGAAGACGCTCCTCCGACGACGCGCGTAAGAGAAACCTCTCCCAGTGCGGCCTACGCCCGGCATCTGCAAGAGAGACTCTGGGCCGACGACGACACCATTGCGATCTTTCAGCTGGACGAAGAGAGCTGCGGTGGCGAGGCGTTGAACGAGTCGCGTGGTCAAGACGATGATGCGCTGTCACATGACGATCTTGTCGAAGAGGCCTGGGAGGTTCCTGCGACGCTCGTGCCCCATGCGTATCCCATTCCATGGACACCGACCTTTGACAACCTCAGCCCCGCATCTCCGCAGAGCGTCACCCATTCCAGTCCGTCGCTCTCGTCGGAGGACGCCAGCACGTCCTCGAACGAGCACGCGCGTATCACCAACAGCAATCTCGAACACAGCGAGTGGTCTGCGTCTGCGATCAACGCAATCATCGGCGATGGGTTTGTCACCGATGACGCAAGCCAGCACAAGGAGCGCGGTGACGAGGAATCCGAGTCGAGCATGCATGCGCTTGGCATGGATGGCAGTGCTATTGCTGCCGAGGCCATGGAAGACGCGGCCGACGCGTCGACGGATGATGCCGCCGACGAGATGCAAAACGTGCCAGCCGCTACCAGCATGTCGTTGGACGTGTCGTCAAGCGAGTACGATCACGTGTTTTCGGGCTCGGACGTTGACGATGCGATCTCGCCAGGGTACTATGGCGACATTTCGGTGCTGAGCATCATGACGCCGGCGTCTATTGCCGAGCTCGACCTCGACGAGGATGCCGATAAAGCCAGCACGTCGTCGGCGCTTGGGGAGCCTGTTTCTGTCGACTCTGTGGACGACCTTGTGAAAACGAGCTCGCGATCGAACGCGGCTCCACGCACACCACTCAACGACGACGCCGAGGATTTGATGCTCGATGTTTCGGGAAACCTTCGGCTCGACGAGTCCAACGATCGTCTTTTGGACGGCCTCGTCATGGACGTTCTGCAAGGGTCATTGTCGCCGCTGTCGACCGAGATCCCTTCGGTTCCAGAGGTGGACGACGCCGCAGCTTTGCCCACAGCAGCAATACCTACAGCATCTCCTCGCCCACTCGACGCGTATCTCTGGCTGAATGTGCTTCGCCGTTTTGTGCCGTGCATGGTGTTTGTCGCTCTGGGCTTTGCCGGCTTGCGCTGCCGTGACCATGTCGCGGCGATGCAGCTCGACGCCGTTGCACCACGTTTGCAGCGGCTCACGGACGGCTTGGCGAGCCGCCAGTCGTTCCTCGAAGCAACGGCCCGGGCTGTAGGAACGCTGCGTACGAGCGTGGCTTTGCACCTCCGTGGAGACACCCAACTGGATGCGTATCGTCGCCAGAGTGACGCGATTGCTGCTGGCCGGTGGCGCCTTGTGGACGACTACACGGCTGCAATCAACGGCGCGCGTGCCCAAGCCGATGCGTCCTTTCACGTGGTCCAGGACTTTTCCGAGGCAACGATTGAGCAGCTTGCCAAGCACTTCAACCTGCCTTGGACGTCGATGGCATCGAACCTCGAGGCCTGGACACGCATGTGGCAGCGCGACGCAGCGACCTTGAGCCGTCGTCGTGCTGACGTGGTCGTGTGGCAGCAGCGTTTGGCGACGACGCCAACGTTTGAGTTTGAGTTTCGCGACATGCTCCAGCTCGCACGACAGTGCCGCAAGGACCAAGCACCCACCTCGCTGCCACCGCTACCGTCGCACACGGCCGAGTTTGGCACGGACTGGCACGTCTGGATGGGCTTGGTCTTGGTGTTTGCTGCCGTGCCCATGATTGCTTGCACGGGCCATTTGATGCGACCCCGCCCAGCAGTATGGCTCAAGAACGAAAGTCCGATGCGGCATGCGCCATTGCGACGCACCGACGCGGCCTCGCCGCACTTTAGTACGTCCACTGCGTAAGCAGATGCGATCGCGCTTCGTCGTTTAACGTGCTGAATCTTATTTATACAGCCGGTCCACTTGGTCCATTGGGTCGGTCGCGGAGCTGAACGTTTTCGAGCTCGACTTGGTGCAGCCGTTCAAAGACACCGAGCATGCATTTCTAGACCATCGGGGTCATGACGCACGATCGTGTCACTGTCAATCTTACATCGATCTGGTCGTCGATCGCATCGCGCTCCCGGACCCCATCGACCACGTTGCTGATCTCATCTTGGAGCATCTTTTGTGCCACGTATGCGTCGCAGTTTTGCTTTTCCGTCTCGAATCTACCCGCCTCCGACGGTCAGTCGTCGGTCTCATTTGCCTGGGGTACAATTTCATGTTGAAGAGCATGGCTTCTTGGTCGCGCTCGCCTTCGACGGCCGCGAGGCGCTCTTCCATGAGGCTTAACATCGCGCGCGCCTGCTTGTCGACCTACGTGCATGGCTCACGATATGCACTGTCAGGAAATATGACCAACGTCGGCACTGCCGGAGAGCGTCCGCGTGCGCTGCACGAGCAGCTTGTCGTAGCTCTGCTTCATGCGTAAGTAGTTGGTGCGCTGTCGCTTGGACTCGTCAACGGCCTCCTACGCATGTCTCATATCTTTTTTCAAAAGGAAGCGATGGACCTGCAGCCGCTTCTGGAGTCGAGGGATCGCATTCGCTTTGGTCTCGACCTATTTGAGGTTTTGAATCAAGTGCGTGTGCTCGTCGCCTACGGTCTCGGGGCGCGCTTTGAGGAGCTCGTCCACCTTGGCACGCAGCTCTCGGATCGTCTTGTCTTGCTCGGCGGCAAGGAACTGGAGGTATTCGTCCTTCTTAGTGCCAATCGCCTCGACCGTCGAGACCGTTGGCGGATGCACCAGCGTCGACGTCCTATCGCTCTCCGATCAAAGAACAAATTAAGCAACGAGCGTACGGCGGTGTCGCAGGGCAAGCGGCGGCTTGGACTTTGGTCGCGGCCAGCGCCTTCTCCAAGTCGAGGTTCTTCTTGTAGAGCTTCCGAATGACGGCTTCGGCAATCTGTAGCTTCTTCTCGGGGGACGGCGGCTCGTGCTCGACAGCGCTTGCACGCGGCTCTTGGATGGCTGGCGTTGGCATTGGAAGACTACGTCTTGTTGCTTCGCAGAGATGCACATATCAGACTTTACCTCGTGTGGAGCTGGCCCTTGATCGAGTGCAGCTCTTGCATCGCTATCTGTACGCAAGGGCGCTGTGCCACCGCGTGTCGCGAGGGTCTGTACCTCGTACTTGTGATGGACGTTGCCATCCAGGTGGGGCAGTGTTGGCTGGTCGTCGTGGGTCTCTTGGTTCATCGGCCGCCGAGTTTTCACTTGCTACGATGCATGCTTGAGCCGTGAGATCGCTAATGCTGGATGTGCGTACGGGTGGGGGCTGTCCCTTGTGTCGTGCGGGGGGCGGGGCTTGACTGGCTTGCTGCGGCCATTGGTTGTCGACGGCGGCAAGGTCGTCGGGTGACCTGTCGCGTTGGCGGAGGTGAAGAAGCCGCCTTTGCAATGCATGGAGCGCTGTGCGGGAAGGAAGAAGCCGCCGCCAAAGCTGCCCGAGGAGGTAGCATCCTTTGGCCGGCTCATTGCATTTATGCACGTAACTGCAAACGAACTCTAAGAATGAAGGTGGCATGGGCCGAGGTCGAAGTCATTTGCGTCGACGAGCAGTTGACGTCCATTGACACTGTCGAGGGACTCGTCATAAGCCGCGTCCAGCACCTCAACGTCTCGGTAGACACGATAAGGAGAATCCGACGTCTCTATTTCGTACTGCTGCCTAGTTCAACCTCCTCACGGATTTGACAAGCCTCCACGCCGTACGAAGCGCCTCCTACCCTCGTACCAACCGTTCACATGATGTAGGCTACAAATCTCCGCGTCCTCAACGTCATGCACAACCATCTCGCGTCGTTGAGCGGGGTCACACCCCTATTGCAGCTGCGGACACTCAAGGCCGGGCACAACCGGATTGCGCATCTCGGCTCTGTCTTGGAGAAGCTCTCGCAGCTCCAAGAGCTATGGCTCGACCACAATCGCATCGAGCTCTGCGAGCTGCCGCGCTTGCAGGCACTCTCGGAGCTCCAAATACTCGTGCTGGAGCCGAATCCATGCTGCAAGGAGCCCTCGTACAAGTAGGTTATCCGATGTCTGCTCTGTTCGAGCCAATAGGCAAACACTTTATCGTAGGTTGTACCTTATTAGTTGTCTACCGTCCCTTCGCCGCCTCAACAACATGCACGTCACCGACGATGTACGGCAGCGCGCTATGGCGTTTCGTGCCAGCGCCGAAGGTCGCGCGTTCGAGCGGCTCGTGCAGAGCAGTAGCACCGACAGCGTAAAGTTGACCAGCGAGGCCAAAGCCAGTAACAGGCGCGGGACCGAGAAAGGGCGAGCTAGCAAGGTCGCACCCCCATCGACACCACACGTACCCAGCAGTAGCAACAACAACACTGACCACGAGACAGAGGACAGAAGCATGCCCGAGGCTCCGTCCCCTCCGATGGTCCCAGCGCGACGGGGGCCACTGAAACCCAAGAAACCGCACAAGTCACCGCTTCCGTTCGACCTCGAGAGCTACCCGATTCAAGACTACATGCCATCATCGACGCCTTCGCTGGACGGTGCACCGACTGTCGATGCCATGCTGGGAGGCTCCGTGACAGCGCTGTCCATTGCCGATGCCGTCGGCGGTCTTCCCGTGTTTGCAGCTGCTACCAAGCCGCCGACCAAGAAAGCATCTGTGCAAGTGCCTTTGAAGACCAGAAAAACACTTCGCGAGCTGCCACCACCACAGCCCGAGACTGTCGACGACGCCAACCAAGTAGACGCTGGCAAGCGCGACGAAGACGACGATATCCTCGACATGGAGGCGTACCTGGCACCAAAGCCGGTCCTTTCCGCTTGCCCACCACCGGTGCAAGCCGAGTACTGCTTCAAGTACCCTGGCTCGACCGTCACCGGTGTGCACATTCGACCGGACGGCTCGGCGCTCGCACGCTGGCCCAATGGCGCCATCGCAGCGACCGTCGACCGAGATGCCGACGGCTCGTCGCGCATCTACGCGACCTACAAGGACGGATCGCTTCTGCTCAACTTTGACGGCCACGGTGCGGGCTTCGTCAACTACGCCAACGGGAAGACGATGTTCTCGACGTCGGCGGCTGGCGACGGCCTCTACCTTAGCGCTGAGAACGGCGGCATCCTCGCTTCGTGGACCAAGATGGACGGGACGCAGTGGCGGGACATTACCACCAAGCTCAGCGAGAACGTCGGCGTCGGGCTCAGTCGTTCGCCACGTGGCGACGACCTACGCATCGACGTGTACCTCGTGTGCAACGCGCTGCGAGCGCGCGTCACGAACGGCTACAACCTCGCCATGGCCACCGGCGACGACTGCAGCCACCTCTTTGGCAAGCCACCATGTGCCAAGAAAAAGATGACGCGCCCCAAGCTGCCGCATGCCGACCTTGTCTCGGAGATCCGCGCAGCGGCCGCCAAGCTATTCTAGCCAACAAAGCGTTGTCGATCTCCGTCGCGACCAAGAGATGATGTCCAGTATCTGTCGCAATTCAGACAACGTTGACAAAAAAGGAACATTTAACTGGGGTTAGGGTTGACTTAATGTTCGGTCTGCAGCTGCTCGTACGTCTTGGTGCGCTGACGCGAGTGCTTGTGCAGGACGACGAGCGAGACGACGAGGATGCAGCTCACGACGAGACCAATGACGGCGAGCGGCTTGGCGGCGGCGTCCACAGACGAGATCGCAGCGTGGTTGAGGCGGAGCGACACCACCTGCTTGTCGGCGAGCCACGGCAAGTCCGGATGTTGCTGGGTCACGTACTCGAGCAGCGTCATGCTCTCACCAGTTAGCTCGTTCATGAGCGGCGTGCCACCGAGGTATGAAGTGTCCTTTGCGTCGCCAAACTGGTTGCGGTCGTTGGCGCTGATCCACTGCGTCACGAGCTGGAGGAGCTGCGACTCTTCGTAGACGTGGATCACTTCGTACGTACGCGTCCACGGCTGCACATAGATGGAAATCAGATACGACTTGAGCGCGTTCGGGCGCAATGGCAGGTCGGACCCGTGCCGAGTGCTGACGACACGGCGCAGCCTTCGACGTTGAAGCGGTACTGCGTGCCTGCGACAACCTGGCTCGCGACCGATAAGAACGACGAGACGCAGACATGGGCGTGCGACGTGTCGTTCGTCAGCGCGTTATAAAAGTCGTCTTTGGCTTCGCTGTTCATCTCGGCGTGCTTCCAGCTGCCGGCAAGCGGCGCCGCCGACTCGACCGAGAGCACCTCGTACGTATGTGTCCACGACTGCGCGTAGAGACCAATCTTGAAGGCCGATGACGACGCACAGCTGCAGCCGCGCGTGGCTGCGACCGCGTTGGGCACTTGACAGCCGAGCACATCGAAGCGGTAGTTCATGCCCGAGACCACTTGCTGGTGGACGTGCTCGATCGACGTGACGCAGACATGCGCCGTGTTGTGGTTCTTGTACGACGTTTCTTGCGAGAGGCCATTGTAGAGGTCGTCGGCCGCGTCGTCAATGTCGCCTTCTTTCCAGCCACCGACGAGCACCTCGGGCGGCGCGTCCTCCATCGCGACGGCCTTGAGCTCAAACGCGTTCGAGCTTAGCGGCGCAAATACGTCGATCTCGTAGTTGATCTGGTCCTTATCGGTCGGCGGGCAAAAGGTGGCCGGGCACGACTCGAGCGTCTTGGCCTTGTTGTTCACGGGGCAGCCCACGACGTGGAACTTGTAGTTGATGCCGGCGACGACCTGCTTTTGGACCGACGAGATGCCCGTGACGCACACGAACGCCGAGCTCGCGTTCTGGAAGGCGCCGTACAGCGCGGGCTTGGCGTCTTCAATGGAGGTTTGGGACCAGCCGCCGACGAGGCCATGCGTGGCGGCGCCAGCGGACGCGACGGCCATCGCGGGTAGGAGCATGCGCAGCGCGACCATGCTTGTTTCGTCGGGAAAGATTCGGAAATGCTGTGCAAGCGCTATTGTTTATACCACAATCCAGTGTTTTAAATTGTTTTCTTCTCGCTTTATTGAATACAACTATGCCTCATTAAATCTTGAAATTAAAAATGGTGGTGAGTGGATGGGATTAAAATATATCGAGTTTTCCAGATCGCCAGTTTGCGCGTGTTGCGCGCAGCTGGGAGTTCGATGCACCGACTAAGAGTCAGACGCACATCAACTAACTAAACAACGTCCCAGCAGCCCGAGGGACACGATGCCGCGATGAGTGCAACGAGTAGTTTATGAGTATATCTACCTACTACGTAGCGCTTGCGACGACACGGAAGAGGCACCGTACTGGTTGACGAGTGTACTAACTTGACCAGAGTACTGGACCAGAGGTAGGCCAGAGACGTTGACCAGAGTGCTGGACCAGAGTCACATCGGTGTGGGTTACCAGATTGGAAATAGCGAGCAGAGTGTAGTAACTTTAGGCAGTAGTTGCGATTAGTAAAGGCAGACAGCGGCGGCCGCAAGCGAAGCAAGCGCGACCGAGGTGGGCACTGCACCGGACGGCTTGGGCGTCGGTGCTGCGGTCATCGCACCACCGGCGCCAATCGCGCTGCCCGCGCTGCTGCCGTTGGTCGCCGTCGCCGAGACAAAGGTCCCGTCAACCTTGGCCTGGAGCGACCCGCTGACCTCGAACCCGCCCATGAGGCTCGCAAACACCTTGACCTGGTAGCTGCTCGTGTCCTTGGTCGCGCACGTCGTGTTGCAGGACGTGAGCGACGACTCGGGCGATGCCTTGGGCAGCGCGCAGCCCTTGACGCTGTACACGAGGTTCTGGCCCGCGACGACCTGCTTGCTGACGGTCAAAATGTCGGTCGGGCACACGCGGGCGACGGCGGCGCCCACGTAGTTGGCCTCGGCGCGTGTCGCGTTGAAGAAGAGCGCGACGTCGTCGGTGGTCGGAGCCGTTGGCGTCGAGAAGCCGCCGACGAGGCCGGCCGGGTCGTCCGAAAGCCCCCCCCCGAGATCGTCGGCACGATGCGCGTGATGAGCGTCTCGTTGCCAGGCCGGGCAAAGAGCGAGATGGTGTAGCCCGTCGCCGCCTCGGTGCAGGCGCAACCCGACGTCGTCGCGGCCTCGGTCTTGACGGCGCAGCCCTGGACGTCGAGTTTGTACTGGATGCCGGCGACGACCTTCTTGGAGGCAGAGACAAAGGTGGTCGCGCAGACGCGCGGGCAGCCGTTGCTCGGGTAGCTCGCCGGAAGGATCGAAGCCTCTTGGTAGAGGCTCTGGACATCGGCAACGGTGGCGTTGGCCCAGCCGCCGACGAGGGCTGCGTCGGTCATGGCCGAGGCAAGGAGCATGGACGCAGCGAGGGAGCGCATCTTCGTGCTGGTAATCTTCTGGTGAGAAATCGAATGTGCACGTGGCCGCCAGATCGAGCCGCGCTGCCCACATGGTTTTGTTGCACTTTTCTCTCGGCGTTTGTATCCATAATGTGGACGGGACATCTGATTCCTGGCATGAAGACGCAAACCGACCGACCGACAAGGCTCCTCCAGTGGAGACGCGTCAATATCTGGGTGCTGCAATGGCTGCCACGCCGGTCGATCTTCGAGATGTTAAATCCAATGGTTGTCTGTGCGCCGACCAGGGTTCCCATTGTCACGCAGCAGTGCAGTCAAGGTTAACGGGATTGAGCTGCCCCAAGGCCCAAGAACAAGGCATGAGCCACAGTGTCTGCATTGCTCAGAGCCGGTCGTTCCTCGCGTGCATATTCGAACGCATCGAAGCAGCAGATGGCGTCTGATTCAGGCGTGCAACGTGGTGCGTGTGTCAGCGCGTATCAGATCTGACACGCGACTTGGGTGCACGTTGGATGCCAGTGTCTTGCCACCAAAGCCACACACAGCAAAACGTGTTTTCCCCAGAGCCCTTACAGTCCGTCGTGGAGTCCGACCGAGACGTACCTTGCGTCTGGGTCGGGCAAGCGCCGCTTCTATGCTACATGGTAACTGCGCGCCTCCACATTCAGAGTCATGCGCCTTCTCGACGTCGATGGGCAAGCCACTGTAGTATAGTAGCTCCTGCTTTTCAAGAGCGTCATCGTTTGATGGCAATACAGAAGAATGTGGAAATAGCCCAAGCCCACACACGGCTTGCCCTCACTGAACGACGTAAGCTCGACTCCTTCGTGCAGTGCATTGGGTTCACTCATGGATAATAACCTTTCCGGCTATCGCCAGGCTGTCTGAAAGGCGGCTGAGGCCAGCGTTGCGATCATCATCATTCCTTCTTCTGAGAATGCATGCGATCTCGTTTCCCACCGTGAAAAGTCAATTCACACGTGTAAACCTCTCGTATATCATACTGTGAGATATGTATTTTAGAGTGCATCCGAACCATTGGACAATAAAACGCCGTCGCGGTCCCATAAATAGATCAAATCAGACGACTTTGCACTTTCACAAGGTGCGTACGTGTGTGCTGGCAGCCTCCTGCCATAGGCAGCTGACGAGAAAGATCCGTAGCTCTTGACAAATGGACGCTCTCCTCGCTTCCGATCTCTCGCCTGAGACACTGGCCGCGCTCCAGGCGCACCTCGCTGCGGTCCAAGTCCGCGACGAAGACGACGACGTCTCGGAGGACTTTCGCCTCTCGCAATTGTGCGGCTTGAGTGCGCACCATGTCCATGATGCTTATGGCGATCAAATGTAGCTGGTACGACCAAAAGACGGGCGACGCGCTGGCGCTCGAGGCGCTTGAGAAGAGCAAGGGCGGTCCGATCGCGTTCTTGAGCACCCCCGCGGCCTTCAAGGCGCTCAAGGTATATCAACGAGCAAATTGCATATCGTTGAATGCGATGGTGTGGCATGCAGGCCATGGAACCGGAGCGTGAAAACGTCTACTTGTTCGAGTACGACCATCGGTTTGGTGACAAGTACGGCGATGCGTTTGCGTTCTACGACTACAACAACCCGCTGGACGTCGACACCAAGTTTCACCATTTTTTTGATTATGTGCTCGTGGAGCCACCGTACCTGGTACGGTTCGGATGACAACTTTTCGGTTTGTAGCATTTTTTATTCATTTTTTGCTCTAGACGTCGCAGTGCTTGCGTGGGTTTGCCAAGACGATGCGCCTCATCTCGCGTGAAGTCGACATGGTGGACGGCGTCGAAGTGCTCAAGACGCCCAACACCTTTATCAACTGTACGTTATACCAACACGCTTGCAAACACGAGTGACAACATTGGTTTCGGATGTAGCGGGCGCGATGCACAAGGTCATGTTCAACGAACTCAAGCTCGTGCCCAGCGGGTTTGTCCCGACGTTCGAGTCCAAGCTCTCGAACCGCCTCACGACCTACATCAACTATGAGTCGGAGCGCTTCGGCCCTTGCGACCACACGTTCGATGACGATGTTGAAGAATAGAACAATCCTCGATCACCCTCGGAGCGCTTCTACCTATTCTTGGGTCTTGCGGCCCTTTCTACTTGCGCCATCACGGACGGTTTGGCATGGATGGAAACAGCTAGGGTTGGGGCTATCTCTGCTGGATTTATTACTCTCAAGACTACAGCGTCTACATGATACACGCTTGCATCGGAAGCGACTATAGTCCGTCGTATAGCTAGCCAGCGCTTGGTCGGCCCGCAATGCTCGAGTTCTCATCACAGAGTACCGGGCAGTAGCAAATGGGGTAGTAGAGACAAATACGACCCGTTGAGTCGATACGCGCTCGTTCCTAGAACGGTTCTCTCATATATATGGTACTCTCGGCGCGCGACCCAACGTTGCGTTGTTATTATGACTCGCTGCTACTGGAAGTGCCGCTGGCGCTTCGCATTCTCGTGCTTGCGACCATCATGTTGGCCAAGAGCCCTCCGCGACAGACTAGGTTTGAAGCCCTCGGCTCCAACGCGAGCCCACACCGCCAGAGACACCTTGATCGCCGTCGCCTGGATCGCGCACTAGTCGTCACAAATGCCGAACGTGGTCGATACTGTCGACGCGCCATCATCGCAGAGTACTAAATACCTCATTTCAACATCAACTACCGGTCAACGGCCAATTGGCAACGCCCAATGTGGCCAATCAGACAAAAAGCATCGGTTTCGCTGAGCCAAGTCATTTGATTTAAGCACTCTCGCATGGTCGACCTCGCATCTCCGCTCTCGCTCGCCGTCGCTCTCCACTTGCAGCACGACAGGTAGACGCTTCATACTCTCATATACTCACCGCGTGCAGTGGGTCCCGGCCCTGTTCGCCGCGCCGGAGGCTCTCGGCCGCCCGCGCCAAAGACCTCGAGCTGAGCCGCGACGCTACACCGCGTCTATCGCTCTCGCCGGACGCGCTGCGCAAATTGCACATTTCAATGCCGACACGCGCCGACGAGAAGCCGCTCGTGCTCTCGGCCCGCGAGACGTCCGAGTGTTTCGTGTCGCAAATGCTTTCTCAGTTCAGCGCGACATAGACAACGCAGAAGCACAGACCCTTGTAACTACTATAAGCAGGCATAGGAACTTCTACTAGTTGGCCTTGAGGTGCGACGGTGGCGCCAACAACAACACGCGCAGCCACGTGACGAGCAAGACGCCGACCGACGCGACGAGCGTGACCCACTTGAGCTCGTTCGCGGCCGCGCCCGTGTAGGCGGCGAGGAGCCAATTCATATCGCGCAGGCTCTGCTGCGGCATGAAGGCGTGCGCTGTAAAGATATGCGCAGAGTTCTCAATGAGGTCGGCGATCACCGAGAGGAACGGGAGGTACGCGAGCAGCGAGACGGGGCGACGCAGCCGCATGTAGCCCGCAGTGATGAGCGTCGAGAGCAGGAGGACGTCTACACACCGCAAACGCTTCGCATCCAAGGCGCTAAAGGATCGGCGTACAGGCTGGCATGTACGGAAAAATGTCAAAGAGCTCAAAGAGAATGTAGTTGCGCCGCGCCACCGGACCCATGGACGCGTACAGATCGTGGAGCTCGACCGGCGTGTAGCCAAAGCTACCGATGAGGCTCATTGTAAGGCCATGAGAAGAGAGAGCGCCTACCGGACGTCGGGCAGCGGAAGGTCGGCAATGCGGCCGTGGGCCGTCGCGGCGCCGTCGACGTAGACCTGCCCGATCACGTTGATGGCGACGGTGACGACGACCTCATAGAGACAGACGAGGCCGATGCGCAGGCGCGTCTCGGCGCAGTAGGCGACCGCGTCGGCTGCCACGTCAAGCAGAGCCATCTTGGACAGGGAATATTTCAAAGTGGCGTTTTTCTAGTCGCCGATCGCCGTTTCGACGAAACAGTGTTTACAGACAGTGTAATGTGTTGACGCCAACGTCGACAGGACACACAGGCATGGCCTGTCCTTGCTGCTGGAAGAAGCTGCTGCTTCATTCGTGTTTCGCAGCAAGATCCTGCCAGATCCATGACGTGGCAGGCTGTGACAGGATCGAAATGCTTCGGTTTTACGTGCCCACAAGGTCAACGCGCGACGTCCCGTCTCTGTCTAAAACGAGGCTTCGGTCCAGCGTACTAGTCCGCTTGCAATGGTGACGCTTCTGTGCGTCGCCTCTGTTTGAAAAGGCGTCGTCGGTGCAACTCGCCAACGGTTCATATAAAGAGCTTTTTATGTACTCTTGAAATCGTTTTCGCAATGCATTGTACTTGACTTGAGCCTTCAAATGCAGAGAAGGCACAGCGGCGAGCCTACCATGTGCACATAATCACGCCACTGCGCGAAAAATGCAGGTGTCGCGAGCCGCGCACTTGGCACGACCGCAAAGTGCCGGTCCGGAAGCTGCCCGACGGCAGTCGCAAGCGCCGCCAGCTCGTCCGTGTGCCACGAGCCTTGGAGCTGAACAGTTTCAAGATACTGTGTCGCCGCGTTCAAGGTCGGTAGCATCGCCAAAACATCGGCCACGGTCAAGTGGTGGTGGGAAAAATCAACGTGCTTCAACGACCGATGTGGCAACTGTGGCACCGCCTGGAAGAAGACGCGAACCTCTTCCGCTAGCAGCAGAGCCATGGACATTCCGAACGTCTCGAGGCGCGGCCGACTGAGCGCGGCAGCAAACAGTACACGCGGCGCGTCGCCCTCAAAGTTGGCGCACTTGAACTCGAGCTGCTTGACGTCCGACATGTTGCCAAGAAGGTCCAAGAGGTCCATCAAGCTCGCAACGTCGTAGCCCAGGCAGTGGGCTTCAAGAGACGAGAGGCCTTCGAGCATCTCGATGACGTCATCTTGCTCCAGGAGCAGCTCAAACTGCTTGCAGCCGAGGTGCTCGAGCTGCGGGCCGTCGATGAGGGCATTGACAAAGTTGCGCCAGCCAGCGTCTGTGTGGTTGGTCGCTTCCCAGTCATCGACGTCCCAATCGAGGCGCTTCAAGTGCTGAGGCAGCGGCCGCCCGTTCAAAAAGTTTTCAAAAATGTCGACGTTGTTGAGTTTGAGCGTCGTGAGCGTCGTGCTGCTGGAGATCGCGTCGCAGAGCTCGAGGACCCGCGGTGAGTCCGGGTCCAAGCCGAGCCAGAGAAAGTCCATGGCCAAGTGCGTCACGGGCCGCGTCTGCAGCCACTTTGTCAGCCGCACCGTAAAGTCGGGTGTGACGTGGCACTCACGCTGCCCACGGTAACCGCAGTAGACGCCCAGCGTGAGCGACGTGAGGCGCGGCAGCTCCAAGAAGACACCGCCAAGCGCACCGTAACCGGCCGTGTCATCGAGAAAAACGAACGTCTCAAGTCGTTGGCAGGACGCAAGCGTCGTTCGATAGTACGCCCACGTGGCTGCGTCGGGCGCGTCGCCTTCGAGGTGGAACGTCATCTGCGTGATCCATGGCGCAATGCCGGCCACGACCTCGAGGTTCGAGCGCTCCTTGATCTTGTAGCTGACAATGACGCTCTTTGGCGCCAGAGCTCCAATGGCAGCGAGGTCGTTGGAGGCTGCGCTCGAGAGGCTCGGGCCGCGAACGACAAGGTTGGGCCACGCGACGTCGACGGCCGGTGCGGCGTAGAGCCGAGCGAGGCTCGCAAGCGCCGACGTCGTAGCCGAGGCTGGGAGCGCTGTCACAAAGCGCTGGCACGAAGCAGCGCACGGAATGAGCATCGCAATCGTCTCGGCGACTTGGGGCGCCAAGACACCGCGGTCGTCGCCACGGGCCCGCTGCGCTGGCGCTGCCATTGGTACGACTATAAAATATCAAAATAAATATAAATATTAAGAGGAATGACGTGGCACGCTGAGAGAGCACGGTGTATTCCAAATCGATGCACATGACCGAGATCGAATTGGCACTTTCTATTCGCTGGGATCTTGGATTCAGGCAAGGAAACACAAGCACTTCTTATACTATCCCTTGCATTCAGGAAACTTACACGACACTGGCAACGCAGGAAGCGACTGCGATGCATGGCCACCAATATGGTGGTCTAAGCATCTCACCGCAAGTAACGATCCGACGCCAGCTTTGACAAAGGCGCTTTGCTACTCCTTCTTCTGCCCAGGTCGATCAATGTGGTTTCAGCATTTTTCTTCAACACATCACCCGATTCCGTCGTGCTATGGCAACACCTGTGCGCAGGACAAGTGCTAGTAAGCGATAGAAAGTTGGTCAGTGGTGTGTGAATAACCTGTACATGACTATACAGTGCAGTGCGGAACGCCTTGACGCAGTCCAATTTCGTTCTAAACCATCGAGCGCGCATAACGAGCTTCCGTCGTTTCTTCAAAAGCCTTGCAGTCGGATCGCCTCCAGACCGTAGCCTGCGACATTGAGCGTCGAAAGGATGTCAATGATGCTCTTCGTGTCCACGTTGTGCTTGGAGGCATCGAGATCCGAGAGGCGGGCAACGTGCTGCAACAAATACACCACTTCCGCATCGTACATGGAGTTTCGAGTGATCTTCAGCACCGCAAGGCGCGGAAGCGAGAGCACCGTGACGAGGTTGCGTGCGTACCGGCCTTTAAAGTTGGCCAAGCGTTAATGACGTCAGGTGCGTCATGCTGCCTACAAACCGCAAAAGGTTTCTCGGTTCAACCCTCCCCGACCGACGTCTGTCGCTTCGAGCGACGAGAGACCTCGAATCTTGGCCAGCGTCGCTTCGCTGTGATCGAGTCCAAGTCGAGCCGCCGCAACAGCGCTTTAACTTAAACTTCTCGCAGCTGAGGTGCTCCAGCTGTGGACCAGTTGCAAGGGCATTCGCAAAGTTGTTCCCGCCTTTGTCCGGGTTGTCCACAAGGTCCGCCTTCGCTCACTCGAGCGTCGTCAAGTGCATTGGCAAGCGCCGGCCGCACAAGAACACGCGAGCAGAGAAGCTCACATTCAGCGCCAGCGTTGAGAGCGTCGCGCCCGACGAAACCTCATCACAGAGCTGCAGATGGAGCGGCGAGCTGGGCATGGAGTCAAACATAAGGTCCTTCAGCTTTCATGCAAACAGCCGGCGATGCGTCGAGCTACTGAATCAAGCGCTTGTATAAGTCAGTCGTGTGGTATATCATGACCCATCACGATCAAAGCCGGTGAAAGTGCGTATTAGTACATGCCTTGGACCTACCGGGTATCCCCGTCTTCTGCGACGCGCTCCAAGACAGCACCACGTTTCAAAAGCTCCGTTTCAGAACCGTCGCTCGCCTCGAGGCTTTCGCGGCCGCCGCCTTTCCCCAGCTGTGGGAATCCTTCATTCCCACAACGTCGCCTTTGACAAAGCCAGGCACGCGTATCACACGAATAAGAAATGTTCTTATCTTGGTGAACGCGTGGCGTGCCACGTCATACCTCTAAACTTAATACATTGTATTTCAGAGGTGAAATGCGGTGGCCGGTCCACGGCGTGTCAATTCCGAATGCAATCCGCGCATCGCACCCGATCGACCAACGCCGGCGTCTTGCTGCCCGAGATCACCGGGGCGATCGCCGACCTGTTGTCGAGTTCCGAAGACGTCACCTCGCTCTTGGCAGCGCTGCCGGAGGAGGCCAAGACCCCGGCATTCGCGTCCGTCTCGCGTCTCTCGACCTCACCAAGCATTACGGCGGCGTGGCCCACGATCACCGTGCTTAGCCCGAAGCTTGACATCGCGACGATTGAAGACCTCGCCGATGCCACCGCGCTGGGTCCTCGCATTGTGATTGGCCATTCGATTGCTACACGCGACGACGTGGCGGTCGTGGCCGACGTGGCGGCAAACATTACCTCGCTCACGTTCATCTTGAATGGCGCCGACAAGGCGGCATTGCGTGTCTTCCGCTCGACGATTGCCTCGTGCACGCATCTCGAGAGCCTCGAGCTCACGGATGTCTCCCGCGGCCGCGGCTTCGTCGCTCTCAACGGCGTCGTCTTCGACGTGCGCACCTCACGTCGATCGCGCTCTGCGGCGGTGGATCATGGGACTTAACGTCCCTCTCGGCCGAATGGTGCGAGCGGCTCACCCATTGGCTCCAAACAGCGCCCGTGGTCTCCTTGAAGCTGGGCAACCTGGCGTTCGCCGTGGAGCCAGGCACCCCGCTCTGCCTTGCGCTCTGCGCCGCGATCTCTGCCAGTGCGACTCTCACCACGCTGGCGCTCAACAGGGTGAGTCTTTTTCAGGACGAGTTCTTGCACGGGTGGCGTCTGCCTGCGAACTTGACGTCGCTCGAGTGGGACGGCGAGGAAATTCCGGACGACTTGGAGGAAGTCACCGACGACGGCAGGGGCAACTTTCTCAATGCGCTCGCCGACGGTCCGCAGCTGAAGCACTTGAGCTGCAAGAAGTTCGAGACGCTCTTAGAGCACGAAGAGCTTCTCGAGGAGCTCGAAGAGCTCACGTCGCTCTCGCTCCACTCGGTGTTTGTGGACGAAGACGCGGACACCGTGCCGCTGTTTCTCGAGTTCCTACAGAACATGTTGCAGCTCTCGTCGCTGCGCCTCAAGACAATTGGTTTTTACGGCAAAACGGCGCGCAAACTCATCAAGGCGCTGCGACTTCTCCAGTCCCTCAAGGTGCTCCAGCTCTCGGCGATTGGCCTCACGGACGAAACCATGTCGGCGAAAGACTTCGCGTTTTTACTGCAGAGCATCCCGCACTTCATGTGCCTTGCGCATCTTGATGTCTCCGAGCACGGACTCGACATGAAGAGCATCCTTGGTCTGCTGCCGACACTCAACGCAGCGGCCCACGATCTGCAGACGATCCAGATGCAAGGCTACTGGCACCAAGGTGACGTCGAAGCATTCATCGACAAGGCGCGTCAGCTGCCCGACCGCCACTTTACGATCGTGCTACGCCCGGCGCGACCGGTGGACGCGGCGACCATGGCCCGTTACGCGCAGTTGATTGACGAGAACGCACTTGGCCCGCGCGGCGACAAACGCCAGTGCGTTGTATACATGTAAATGGCCTTTCTGGCATCGAAAAGCCTTCCCGCACTGGATTATATATTCAATTTGTATCCACATTGTCTTCATTTCACAATATCCCAGTCCCGCCCGCGGTCCCGCGAAAAATATCAATGTATCAGCGCAGCAATCCTTAATCACTGTGCCGATAGGATACATATATATGCACTGAAAGCATTATCGCACACTGTGCTCTTCTTACGGTGGAGAACATGTCGTATTCGTGTGCTACGCCTGCCTAGTGGCAATGAAAGATGCACGAGCTCCGGGAAGGCGGCGGTCGTGAAAGCCATAGTACAAGCTAGCGACGGCTGTGCAAAAGCACCGCCATCCCTTGCCCGTTGAGCGCATTGTCCGAGAGATCAAGATCGGTGAGGCTTGCGCATGGCACGAGCGCAGGAATGAGTTAGCCAACGCCGTAGGTGCTAAAGTAGTGTTCGGGAAGCTTGAGATTGGCCAGCAACGTGAATTGCGCGAGACCAACGAGCAGCAGCAGCAGCGTATCGTTATCCTGCCCTGCACTGTCGTCCACTTCTAAATTCTTCATGTGCGAGAATCCGTGGTTGAGAAGCAATTGACCGAAGTAGTCGCAGCCCGAGCGCCCTAAACGCTGCAGATCCAGGGCGTAGGCGACGTCGCGGGCCATTGCGTCGTTGAAATAGTCGCCAGCGGTGCGTTGATCGTGGGGGTGCCACTCGAAAATGCGCAGGCGAGAGGGAAGACGTCGACCGTGGAAATCGCCCACGCTGGCGACGTTGCCGAGCCAGAGCTGGTGCGGCTTGGTGCTACCTCCCACAGCGTCGCAGAAAGCGAGGACGCCCGAGAGGTCCATGACGCCAACGTTGTCCACCATAAGCTCTACTCGCGGTGTGGCGTTGAGCCACTTGGCGTAGTCGAGGCGCGGCATCGCCAGTGGGGATATCCCCACGCGTCGGAGCTGGCACCAACACCTGGTCAACCTCGAAGTCTTCGCGTTTCTTGATCATGTAGCTGGCCGTGACACTCCTTGTCGCTAGTGGTACAATGGCTATGAGGTCCTTGGGCGCGCGCTCGAGAGGTCTGGGCCGCGCACACTCGCGCTGGCTTCAAATATCAATATTGGGAGGTATGACGTGGCAAGACCCTGTGCCATATGTATTTTCGCGGGGTCCGGCGTGTTATACCCAGGTAAAACAGGCTGTAACAAGGGTTATAACGTGACCAAGATCTTGCAACGGACAGAGAAGTTCGCAGTCAACGAAGTCGGGCGATGGAGGACGAAGCCCGGATCGAGATCACGAGCGCGGACGACGCGCGGTACCCGCTCAAGCTCATGGAGGGCCGCTTCCACTGCAGCTGGGAGCTGCCTGACAACGTCCTCGCCGAGATCTACGTCGACGACCAAGCCTCGGCGTGGCCGGTCACCCACGACGGCCGCTTCAAGGCGCTGCTCGCGCTGCCGAGCGTTGGCCAGCACGAGGTGTGCATCAACATTGCCGAGACGTACCACATTCTTTCGATCGACTACGCGCCGGCGCCGGCGACGCACCACGTGCGTGTGTACTTGGCGTCGGACGCCAGTCGCACCGAGGCCGACCTTGCCAAGGTCCGCTTCTTCGCCAGCGTCCTGCAGACCGCGTTTGGCGCCTTGACCGGCACAGCATCGTTCTCGCTCCAGGTGGACGAGCACGGCCAGCCGCTCGTGCATGCGCTGGACGCCAGCCACGTGGACGCAGCGATCAAGGCGCTGCCCGACTACGCGTCGACGTTGGCAACGACGACGCACCTAGTCCTTCTCGACGGATCGCTCAGCGACGAGACGTGCACGGACCGGTATGCATCGCTGGTCGTGCTCGGCATGCCCAACGTGGCGCAGTGGCCGGAGGGCGTCGGCAGCCTCAACAAGAGCTTCCTCGACAACGACCAGTACACGGCCGCGCTCAGCAACGGACTCCATCAACTCGGCCATGCGTTTGGCTTGGGCCACACGCGCGATGGCGTCATGGCGCTGCCCGCCGGTCGCCACGCGATCGATCAGCTTCTCAGTGTCTACACGCGCAAGCCCAATGCACGCGTTGCCGCGTACGCGAAAGCCTTTCCGGACGGCAAGCTCTTTGTCAACTATGCTGGCGTCGACACGGCCTCGAGCCTTCGCGCCCACTGGCACGCAGCGTCGAGTTTGCGCCTGCAAAAGAGTCCGTTTGTGTGTGGCGCCTCGGGGCGCGTGCCTACGATTGCGCCCAAGGTGCTCTGGCCCGGACCGCTGCGGGGCCCCGTCGGCCTCGGTGGCCACATTCCGTTTGGCAGCGACTACCGCGGTCGTTCGGATGTCGCTGGTTTTCTCTTCCACGCCGACGCGTCGCACGTGCTTGACATTGAGATTCTGAGCCAAGGCGCGCTCAACGACCTCCTCTTTGCTGGCCTCTCGGCGAGCGGCAACCAAGACATGTTTTTGCTCATGGACAACGAGTACATCCTCCAGATCGACGTGACCGTGTCGAACAAGGGCCAGACAATTGCAGCTCTGCGCTTCCACACGAACCTGCGCACGACGCGCTTCTTTGGTGGGCGGGGCGGCGGCCTCGAGACGCTCACGCCGCCGCCGGGACACCACTTTTACTCGCTCTTTGGCACGTCGTCGAGTGCCGGCGTCGGGAGTCTCGGTGCGTACTTTACGCCCTTGCCGCCACATGCGTCGCGCCCCGGAGCGCCGACGGCCACCGAGACGTCGACCACGCCCGTCGCGAGCATGGCCGACCAGCTGTTGCAGCAGTTCAACACGCTTTTCAGCTTGACGCCGCCGCCCGCGCCAGCGAGCACGGCGTCTGGGTCGTTTGCGACCATTGGTCTCGGCTCGAACGACGGCGACCAAGACGCTTTTGTGACGCCGAGAGGCCACGTGGGCGCGATCCTCCTCACGTGCACGGACGCGATTGCAAGCTTGAAGACGCTGTCGGCCACGGAGTATGCAAACAAGTGCCGGGACGGCTACTACTGCTCGGACGACGAGCACGTCTTTTCGCTGTTGCCGCACGAAGTCATTATCCAAGTCGACGTGCGCTCGAGCGAATGGATCCACGCACTGCGCTTCCACACGAACCGGCGGATCTCGCCGTGGTTTGGCGGCGACGACGGCGTTGAAAACGCTTTTGTGTGCGCGACCGATGCGTGTATCACGGGGTTTTACGGGTCGCACGGCCACCACTACCTGGGCACGCTCGGCGCCTACTTTGGTCCCGCACCCCGGGGCGCACCACCGGCCAGCATCAGCCTGCACCCGCCACCGACGCTGCCGACCTCGGTGCGCGAGGATGCGCTTGCCGGTGTTCAAATCGATGTTGCCAACGGCCGGCTCGCGCTCTCGGCGGTGCGCTCGCTTGCCGAGACGGCGTCGTTGTCGCCGTCGCAGTCGCTCTTTCTCCTCCAGCGCGGCGAAGCCCTCGTTCAAGTCGACGTGTGCCGAAGTGGATTGGACGACGCGACGATTGTCGGTGTCTGTCTGCACGCGCAGACGCGCTGCAGTGCGTTCTATGGCCGCCTCACAGACGTGTACGAGCGCCTCGGGGCCCCGACCGGCGACGCAATTCTCTCGATGACGATGGACAACGAATCGGAGGTGCAGGTGACGTTTGCGCCGTTGCACGACTGCGTGCGTCAGGACGACGTGACGGTGACGGACGCCGTCGACATGGGCGCCGACCACCTCGAAGTCGTCGCACCCGACGGCCACTTTATGCTGGTGTTGCACGCCGTCGTGGGTGCCGATCTCGTCGCCGTCGCCGTCGTCCACGATCCGAAGCGGTCGACGACGCCACCGCGGAGCATGTTTTACCCGCTTTCGGTGCTGCAACAGCGTGTCGACGGTCCCCTCAGTGACTATGTCGTTGAAGTCGTCGACGAAACTGGCAGCGCGAGTCGGGTCCGCGTTCCGTTGTAAGCCTCTTGCTCGGCGCTGAATATACATGATGTATCCACGACTCCATTTTCATCTGGGATGGATACTATTGGATGGCGAATGGATAGTATACGCCGAGTGGATAGACGATGGCCGCACCCTCGCTTGGTCGAGATAAGCAGCGTTTCCAGGATGATTTATTTGGGTTTTCATTTGGTTGTACTTGTGCCGGTCGTGCGTCCGAGAAGCTTGCGGCGTCCCTCAGGGCTGACCAAGAGACCATGAGATTTAAAAATCCCTTGGGGCTGACGCACTGGAAGACCGTGGCTAACTAGAGACTCTACGAGCCGCCATATCGAGTCGTACGCAGAGCATTACTGTCGAGAAAAGGTCACGCGGTAGCAGCATCAATCCGCAAGCACCCATTGCTGGGTTGATGTTCTCCGCGAGTATACGCTCGAGTTCAATGCCCAGCTTCCTGGACGCCGCGCCAACGATTCTAATTGGCCAAAAAACAGTGTGAGCGGGCCAAACTGACCAGTAAGGGTGTTGCGTTCATATCTTTTGGCCAATCTTTATGGAGAATATTGTCATGTCCAGGTCGATGCCACACACTCACAAAACAAAAGTGAACCATCACAAGGATACATTCGCAGGAATTAAAGAGACGACACTGGACACACGCGCAGAGGCACAAACTTCTGCGTCTTGGGCTTACTTCTTGACGATGCACGAGCCGTTGACCGTGCCCTTGCCGCCGGCGATGCGGTAGCACTTGGTCGACGGGAAGATGGCCATGATGTTGCTCGTCATCGCGAACGAGAGCGCGCCAAAGAACATGAAGATCAAGATGGCGCCCGCAAGCTTGCTCTTGCCGCCGCGCTTCTTGAGCTCCTGCATGGCAGCCTTCTGCGGCGGCAGCATCCAGAGCCAGAAGAGCGCACCGACCTTGCAACTGAACGAGATGATGTAGCAGTACGCGACTTCCCACCGGATCTCGGGCGTATCCGACTTGATGTCGTTGACCGAGACCTTGAAGTACGAGTTGATGTACTTGTAAATGACGGACGCGAACGGCGACGCGAGGTTGGAGATCGTCGTGACGAGACCGTACGTCGCACCTTCGTTGCCAATGTCGGCAATCTCGACGGCGCAGTACGTGGACACAATGAAGCGGACACCGCCCGGCACGTTGTCGGCGAGCGCGACACCCGTGAAGAACCACTGGTTGCGGAACCCGTCAAAAATCGTCATAAAGATGACAAAGCTGTCAATGGCAATCACACCGAGCGACGAGAGCGCGATCGTCCAGCGCCAGTTCCAGTTGAGGCCCCACTTGCCGACGACGACGAGGATACCGGAGAAGATCAAGCTGCCAAAGACACCCGAGAGCGAGTCGTTGAGCGGCTCGACCTGGGCCCAGTACGCAGCCAAAGGACCGCCCGGTGTCGCGCCCATGGACTGGAAGCAGTTGCTGATAAAGCGGAACGCGCAAATCTGCCACAAGACGCGCTTCTGGAGGAGGGTCCAGAACATGCTGGCCCACTCGCCAAACGGGACACGCGGCGTCTTCTTCTCGACGACCACAAAGATGGTCGTGAAGACGACAAAGACGCACGGCACGAGGCAGATGCCAAAGATGACGTTGGGACCAACGGCAAAGTCAAACGACCCCTTGTACACCTTGCCGTTGAGGAAGAAGGCGACAACGAGCTGCGAGAGGACGCCGGTCATCGTGCGCACGACGTAGATGGCGGTCTGGACACGGCCGCGGATGGCCACGGGCTCACGCTGCGCGTACTGGACAACCATGGCATCGGACGCGCAGGCCGCGATGACGTAGCCGAACGAGACGAGCATGCTCATCATGATGAAGAGCGCACCGCGGTTGGGCGCGTCCAAGTCGAAGAAGGCCTCGAGGTCGCTCGTGGAGAGCTTGGTGGTGGCCGTTTCGCACACCTTGGGGTCCTTCGTCAAGCGGCGGTCGCAGAACGGCTTGCCGAACGGCGTGAATGTCATGATAGCGAGGGCGATCATCGTGAGGGTCCAGCCGATGAGCATCCACGACTTGCGGCGGTAGCCCATGATGGGCACGCAATCCGAAAGCATGCCAAAGAAGACCTTGAACGACCAGCCCGTGGTGACGAGGACGCCGTACGAGGCGGTCTGGTAGCCTTCCATACCGAGGTACACCGTGTAGAGCGGGTAGACCAAGGTCGGGATCATGCCGTAAATGACACCGATCGCGCCGTACTGCGAGAAGAGACCAAAGGCTTCGCGCGAAAAGAGGTGCAGCGCGCCGCCCTCGACGAGCGCGCCGTCTTCGAGCTCGCCGGGCGTCTTGGCATCAGCATACCCGTCGCCGTTGGCGTCCTTGTCGTGCGCGTTGGATTGGATGTAGGAGACGCGCTCCTCGAGGTCCAACTTGCTCTGCACTGGCTGCGCCATTCTGGGCAAATGTGAAAATGAGCCTAATCGTTCGATGTGAGGATCGGCGTTTCAGAGCCGTGAGGGCGTCCAACGGTCTGAGAAGGGAAGCGTATATGATAAACAAACTCAGATGCGGACATGTGCTGCGGTTGGTTGCGGACAAACATACTAGTTCAGGGTATGGCTCACTCACCAGCCGATGCCTATCGCGCTTAGTGGCACGGTACAGGTCTCCTGTCTTTAGATAAAACTGTTTTAGTAACGTGGCTGCGCCATTATTCTGCGCCTCAGTGTTGTGTACCCACATCTGCGCTCGAACCAGATAGAGCAGCTAGGAGCTCAGCCTGGTCGCTGTGTTCAATGTGGGCGATGCCACCGATCAGCTACAGGTTTTCCACCCGCGTACACGGGTCGCACCGGCTGCTGGAGGCCCGCTTAGGAGACGAAAAGTACGAGGCCAAGGATGTGACCAGCGCCGCCTCGGGCGGTTGGACTTGCTCAATTACGCACTGCGCCTTGGCCCTCGTCACACCACGCAGGGTTTCTACGATGCCATTGAAAAATACGTCTGGTGTGCGGGATACGACTTTTTGGCAGGGCCGAGCGCCAGTAAAATCGCGCTCTATACAGGCGAAGCAGAGCTCTAATTGACTCGCACATTCGGGTAAGGAAGGGGTAGGGGAAGAAGGCAGTTGTTGAGCACAAGAGGCAAAAAGTTGAAGTCTGGTTATGTATGTACGTACCGGTACAGTAGGCCCCATGAATCGCCGTGGCGCTACAGACACCTGGTGGCGCATCGAGAGTAAATATTGTGGCGCCATCACAGTGCAATTGTCCACTCGATAAAAATGAAGAAGGCAACCAACGCCGAGGCGCATCGCTCACGCTATCGAGCCTATTATGCAAGAAACCGCGCGTCCATCTTGGCGCGCATGCGGGAGCGGTACGCTGACAACCGAGAACTCGAGCAAGACCGCCAACGCGACAAGTATCTTCGCCGAAAAGCTCGCCGCAAGCTCTTGTCAGTCGAGCGACAACCGTGCGCGCTGCATTTGCGCCATATTTTGAACGCGGCGCCAACAGTGGACAAGGGCAGCATCGCATATATCTTAAATTAATCCACACACTATGGCGCACTTGTGTGGCTTGCCGCGACGACTCACCCGGATCGCTGCGTCGCGAGCTTTTCTCCAGAGGACCCAAGCATCTTCTACCACTTCATGGTCGAGGTACACGGAGTCGGTGTGACGTCATCACGGCGCCGATTTACCTTCGAACGCCACATGGATAAACACATGGGTTTTTGATCACTAGGATCTGATTCGAGATGTGGGTACAAACTTGCTCTTGAACATCACAGTATTCAGGAGTGATGTGCATAGCTGGTCGCGATCATGTTGGTTGCGATGTAAATTGCGTCTTCTAGACGCCACAACGCTCGTAATAACGAAGTAGTGCTCGCACAGGACAGCTGAACCAAGGATTTCCCTCCGAGAGGATTAAATGTACCTCAAAACTCATTTCAACGACAATAGGGTCGCAGAGTTGTCGCCACGTTTTCTCCTGAGTAGAGCTGCATCTGGACGATGCGACCCCGCATCAAACGCCTCCAATGCCAGCCGCTAGCCTGCCGTAAACGGATGATTCTCGTGCTGATCCTTGTGTTCCGGTAAGACTGCGTCAAGAGGAAAAATATTGAATATCACCTCTTACTCCATCAGATACCCGCATTGTCCCACGCTACGACATACCATCTCGGGCAGCAAACCGATGCGTAAGAAGTACCCACGCGTACGTTAGCAATCCGTTGCACTATACACTGGTCGCTTCAACACCCTTCTATGAGGCATTTAACTTGAGGTCGTTCCCCTTCAATAAAGACAATATACGAGCATCGTACTAATGCCGCTTCTGTTGCTACCGATCAGCAGGAGCGCAGCGACCAGGCTGAGCTCCTAGCTGCTCTATCTGGTTCGAGCGCAGATGTGGGTACACAACACTGAGGCGCAGAATAATGGCGCAGCCACGTTACTAAAACAGTTTTATCTAAAGACAGGAGACCTGTACCGTGCCACTAAGCGCGATAGGCATCGGCTGGTGAGTGAGCCATACCCTGAACTAGTATGTTTGTCCGCAACCAACCGCAGCACATGTCCGCATCTGAGTTTGTTTATCATATACGCTTCCCTTCTCAGACCGTTGGACGCCCTCAC